TTGAATCCCATTCATCTTTTGTCCTTTCCTCAATCCACTCTATATTTTCCCCTCATGCTTACTCCCTGTAACCTGCTGCATATTAATGGCATTTCTGCCTTGCTTGGAGAGAAATGATTAAAAAAAAAATAAACACCATGCATATAAAGATCTATCCATTTTTTTTATCATAGCAACTGTTAAAAAGAAGGAGTCTTTTATTCCTATTTTAAATGCCACTGTCTACATTCCTGATTTTTTAACCGCTTAATAGTAGTAATGTTAATATTGGTAGCAATAATATTAGTAGATATTTGATGTTTAAATATTAAATAATTTGATAACTCTACACATCAGTGTGCAGAAATTACTAGAAAAAATTAACAGCATGTTATAAACAATATACAATGAATATATAACTTTTTTAAAATCATTTCATCCCAAGCAAGGTGATAATGCTACTAGGATGCAAGGGTTTACTGGGATTGCAAGAGAATGAGAAAACTTTAGTGAGGAGAAAGGACAATAAAAGACTAGGGTGGAAAAATGTTTGACAAAGTAAAAGAAAGTTTTTGTGTGACATGTTTCGTCCTTTAGGACTTTTTCAAATGAAACGCGTCACATGAAAAAATTTTTCCACTTTGTCATACATTTTTTTCCCACAATAGTGTTCTTGATAAATAAAATTTTATATATTGTTATCACATATAGAATTATAAAAATTTTTCCTCTCAAACAACACTGTTGAATATTTTTCTTGCAGAAATTTTTTTATGAAATCATTGAAAAATGAAGATAATCTTTTTGTTTTTCATCAAGTGTTTATAAATTTATAAACTTGGTAAGAAAAATTTTTTTTTATTTTTCAGCATAATTAAAATATATGGATTTATTTTCCATTTCTAAATGACACGATAGTCACCATGGAATTTCTGCAGAAAAAAAAAACTAAGCTCATCAAAGAATAAATGAAAATCATTCATTAGTTTATTTTTTCTTTTCTGAATCCTACAAAATTCTGAAAGTTTTCAATATTAAAACAGCTTATTGGAAAATTTATTTCCAAAACTTCGAAAAGGCTACAAATGACGAAAAATTCTCAGCCTAACCAGAAGAACTTCCCAAAAGATTTAATGTCTCACCAGGTTGGGTTAAGAAATTTTCAGCACATTCCCATGATATTGTTCATGAAATATTTGTCTGGATTTCTGAGGGGAAGAGGGGGGGGGTGCTACCATACCTTCATCTCTATTGTTTTTATCGTTTTAAATGTTTTGCCCTCTGACCTTTATCCCTGGACATGGACAGTGGAACAAGAACAATCTACCCCCATAGAGTTCAGTTCAGTTTGAATACACCAACATACTTCTGAAGATTATTTTTATTGACAATCACTGGATGAAGGTTGCATCACACAGCAATCAAAACATTGTGATTAAAAAAAGAAAGATGAGGACAACAGTATAGATGGAAATAATGTGAAAATGTGATTTTTTAAAACTTTTCTTTTTATAAATTTGAGCAAACACAAAATTTTAAATTTGGTTCACTTGCATTTTTATTGCAACATAATAAATTTATGAGTAAAATTTCTTGATTTTTCCTTCATAACATTTAGGTTATTTTTGGTAAAGTAACACTCTCATAGCTGGGACACATTCCCTTGAACATTCTACAAAGACTGCCTTTATTTCACCCACTAACTCATCCTCCTCTTGTTCCTCTCCTCTCTTCCCTCCTTCTTTCTTCTTCTCCTCATTCTTCTTATTCTTCTTCCTCCTTCTTCTCCTCTTCCTACTCCTCCTATCCTTCTATTTCTTATTCTTCTCTTCTTCCTTCTCCTTCCTTCCTTCTTCTTATTATTATTACTGCTACTACTCTTACTACAACTACTACTAATACTACTATTTTCACTGTCATTCGCAATGCCATATGTTATGGTTATTCAATCCTCAAGAACTGAGAAACTAGGTTGTGCATGGGGACCACAGATTAAAAAGTGAGCATCTCATTGAGGGTGAGACACGCAGCTGCAAATTGACATTTTTGCAGAGTGTTTAGTTTAATGTGATTTCTTTCATGGATGAATGGCTTTAACAGATAAAAAAAATATTTGCCCAAAGTCATGCAATTAGAAAACAAAGTCCACAATTAGAAACATGGAATCCCAATTCTTTTTAACAGGTCTTCAGATGAAAATAGAACACTTTTTTTGGGAAAGATTACCAGACAGATGCTTCAGAAAAAAGAGGACTTTAGTTCATATTGATGTAAATCTGTAGACAAAAAAATATATATATATATATATATATATATATATATATATATATATATATATATATATATATATATATATGTATCTGCACATACACACACACACACACTGTTTATAAGAGGTGCTCCAAAAGTTTTGAGCCCAACATTCGTGATGACATAAATTCAGGAAAATATTTTTTCTGTCTTTTTCGTTTTCTTGATAAATACATTTATATTTTTCATTTTCTTGATAAATACATTTTCCACAGATGCTATTTTCATAGGCTATTCGGTCTGTGGTCCATCTTTAAAGGTTCTCCATCTTATATTTCTTTTCATTGTAAGATTGTTGTTCTACAGATGTTAGGAATAAATGCTGATCAAAAATAAAGAGAATGTTGGTGATCCTCACATATGCCAAAAAATACCATGGACTGAACATATGAATAATGAGGAATTTCTAAGATAAAAACTAAAAGGATGCTTATACTTAGAATCAAAGAGAGACGGTTGGAATTTCTAGGATATATAATAAAGAAGGAGGGCTTGGAAAATTAGACACTCACAAGACACACTGAAGGCAAGAGGGACAGCATGATACAGGGAATAATCTCCTTAACAAGTTTGTGTAAATAGATGGCAGAACAGTGATTGGTAGGGATAGTAAAAAGAAAAATATTTCTAAGAGGTACAAAGAATAGGAAGTTGTGAAGAGCTATGATCACCTACATCATGAAAGGACATAACACAAAGAAAGAAGATGGTGACATTCAAACTTATATCCTTTTTCCTTCAAAAAACCTATCTGAACATGATAGCCACTCTGCTACATACAATCCAAAAGCTTGTGTTTATAATATCATCTATGAACATGGTTATAATGTGCTGACCATGTTTTGAAAATAAAACATTCCTATAACTTTAGATACATACATAAAACAATTGATAGATTCAGTTAAAAGTAAAAGTAAAATCATCCTTGATAATGGCTAAAAGTATTGCCAAAAGAGCTCAGATATACAGAACATTCAGACAGTTTCTACTTAATTTTATGTCCAGAAAAGAAGAAAATTATAAGAATACATTAAAACTTAAACATAAAAGTTAACCTCAGTACTTGTTTGCTAGTATTTTTTAATAAAACTTGGTATTATTGCCCCAAAACACAATTTGCTCTCAAAAATCTTTTGGTTGAGCACTGTTGAGAGATGGGTGAATTCTATGAACAGCAGCTGCCAGCACTAACACGTCTCTCTCCATTAATAAATAGAACATTCTGGCTGTCTGGCATTTGTTTACATTTATAAAAACAATATGCTAGAATTGGTCTTTCTCTCTCTGCCGAAGCGCCAATGGCTTAGGGGTAAAAACTCCGACTGATAACAAATCGGTTGTCTTAAAGCATTCAGTTGTCTAGTTGCACTGATGAGATGTGATACAAGCTTAAACAGGCCTGTATGCAAATGACACTATATATATATATATACACACACACACACACACACATATATATATATATATATATATATATATATATATATATATATATATATATATATATATATATATATTTGAATTTAGTGTATACAGGTAGCAGATCATTGTTCAAACATATATTGTTAAATATAACAGACATATTTGTTTTATCATGAGCCTTTCCAAGCATTGTATAATGGCTTTAGTTTCAAGAAAAAAATTTTGTCTTAAAGGCTCATCATAAAACATGATACATATTCATTGTGTTATAGTTAAAATATACATACACATTCATTATATATATTATATTATATAAATACACATTCATTATCTGTTATAGTTAAAATATATTTGTGTATATATATACATTTTCTTTTTGAATTTGTAGGTCTGATGAATTAGATTGTATTTATGATTCCAATGTAATAAATTATGACCATAGAGTACTAGTGTTTAAGCATTTTTTATTATATCCTTACTCTGTCCTGGACATTGAGTTTTACCTGGATTCTATCCTCTTGGAATTATTTTTATATATATATATATATATATATATATATATGTATGTATGTATGTATGTATGTATGTATGTATGTATATATATATATATATGTATATATATGTATGTGTATATTAACCACTAATATTATCTCTCTCTATATATATATATATATATATATATATATAAGAGACAAGTATGAAAAACATTGATAAGAAAGAAGTCAATTCCAATAAAAAACTCACATGATGTTAAGAGATTAAGCGAAAAAGAACCACAAGTTAGACACTAACTGTTCCCTTCTTTTTTAACTGACTGCTCCCCTTTTTCTTTGAGGTTTATGTATATGGGGAGAGGGTAAACAGCAACATTTAGGTGGATGAATTTTCATTCCTTGCTTAACGAAAGAGGTTTTGCTGATGGATCACAATACCTTTCATGAGATTTCAGATGAATGTTTTATCATTGATAAAAGCCTTCACTACAAGGACAAAATTCTTCTTTCAATCATTCACCTTACTTTCCTTGACACCATGCAGTACCTTCTCCATTACCAAATATGAAAAGCAATGGAGATATGATACAATCCATCAGGCTATCAATTTACAATATTTGCTATCTAATAGAATATTCTGATTTTGAAATTCTTCTACATACATACCCACACATATGTATGTATTTATGTAGATGTGTGTATGTATGTATGCATTTGAATGTCAATATGAGAATTTTGACATCTGGAATATAAAAAAAAAATCTTTTTATCTTCATTGATCTAGAAGTATTCTCAATGTCTCTCCTTGATGCAATCTCTAATATCTACAAGACGAAATGTGGAAATGATTCTCACTCAGTCATGATACAAAAGACCAGATTTTACCATCCATTAGAATATTCCAGAAGTGCCTTCACATATCAAGATCTTCTTTTAGTATAAGTAGTAAGATTGTATTCATTACCAGCTTGTCACATCTGTCACATAATTTATAGCACCTAGTATTCACCAGTGGTCACTCATCTGAGTACTGGCAAAGATCAACATTGCTTAACTTTGGTGATCAGACAAGAATTGATGGTTAATATGGCTTTAATTATGTAAAATGGAATATTCCAATGTGAAACATATCGCATACATACATTAAGACTCATTACTCTGGATAAAAAATAAAAAATGTGTTAAGGAATACCTCATTTCTCTACAAATGAGCTCTTCCTCTATGACTAAATAAACAAAGCTGATTTGGATCATTTCTATCATTGACCATTATTGTCTTTTATTGTCTGTCATAAGCATTTCTTGGGTTTGGTTACATTGGTTGAATTTTATATATCAACTCGTTTTTTTATAATTGATGTACATCCTGTACAATGCCGCTTGTGGTAGAGGGTTAGATTAAGGGTTAGTTTATATGGATAGGAGGGGGAGATAACAGTTGACTCTAGATTTGAACAGGTCAAGATTGTAGTGATCTTGGGAGTTGGTTCCACAGAGCAGCAGTTCGTGGAAAGAAGCTGTTTGAGTGGAACATCTCACCAATTGAATATTAAACCTAGCAGAAGCAAGGAATGTAGTTCAGCCAAAATTGGATAATTTATGTCAAATTTTGTATGCAGCACAGACAAAGAAACAATCTGCTTAGATCCAGTGGGTGGGAATCTCCCTTCCCTCAGACAACATTCCACATCCTTCAGACAATATCCCGTTTCCCTCAGATAACATCCCACATCCCTCAGACAACATCCCCCTTCCCTCAGACAACATCCCACATCCCTCAGACAACATCCCACATCACTCAGACAACATCCCCCTTCCCTCAGACAACATCCCTCAGGCAACATCTCGCTTCCCTCAGATAACATCCCACATCCCTGACAACATCCCCCTTCTATCAGACAACATCCCACATCCCTCAAACAAAATCCCCCTTCCCTAAGGCAACATCCCACATCACTCAGACAACATTCCCCTTCCCTCAGACAACATCCCTCAGGCAACATCCCGCTTCCCTCAGATAACATCCCACATCCCTCAGACAACATCCCCCTTCTATCAGACAACATCCCACATCCCTCAAACAAAATCCCCCTTCTCTAAGGCAACATCCCACATCACTCAGACAACATTCCCCTTCCTCAGACAACATCCCTCAGGCAACATCCGCTTCCCTCAGATAACATCCCACATCCCTCAGACAACATCCCCTTTAATCAGACAACATCCCACATCCCTCAAACAAAATCCCCCTTCTCTAAGGCAACATCCCACATCACTCAGACAACATTCCCCTTCCCTCAGACAACATCCTGCATCCCTCAGACAAAATCCCCCTTCCCTCAGACAACATTCCCCTTCCCTCAGACAACATCCCACATCCCTCAGACAACATCCCCCTTCTACTCCACTAAAACTGTGATGGTCAGAATTAACACCCAAGCATTCTCAATAGGAAATTGTTTAAGCAAGGGTTCAATTTTTTTTTTTTTTTTTTACCAATCCTCTGAAAATATAGAATTCATGGGATTGTGTTGTATCCCACTCAAATAAATGTCTGGATAAATACTCTCCTTTTCTAAACCTCTTCATCTGTGGACTTGAAACTTACTGTAAATCTTTTGTGAAAAGTGTTACATGACTGTTTAATTTTAACTCACATTATGACTGACTAACCTTGAGCAAGGTCTGAGTTTTACTGTAGACAAAGATAGCTGATAATATATAAATATACAAGGATTTTTTTTTCTGGGATATACACAGACAGTTGTGAAGCTTTGATATACTACCAACCAGAAGAGACTTTCCTTTGAACAAACACTCTCCTGTAGAGTTATTCAATCACTATCAACATATTATTGAACGAGCATGCAATCTTAGTGACCATCCTATTCACAATAACTGAATGAGTATATTCTTCACATCTTTTGGCATAGAATCTTCACATCACCCAGAAGAACACATTTTTGACTTCATCACTTGTATACCTTTGTTGTTAATACATTATCATTTGTTTGTACACATATATATTGGTTCTTGTTTCTTACATTTCTTTAGGTGCACTCATATCCCGAGTCTGCCATGTTTGCTATAAATACTCTGCAATATATACAATATATATGTAAAATATATATATATATATATATATATATATATATATATATATATATATATATATATATATATATATAACATATGAAGATGTGAAGTTACTAGCTGAAAGTTTACAAGCCAGTTTTTCTCCCTCTGGGATCTTTGAGCTTGGCCAGATGAAAGATCAGGTGCCAGGGTTTTGTCACTTAGATTTTTGTAGTGTGATATTACTTTCATAGATATTTACTAACAGTCTGCAGATGTTCTCAGGTAGATTGTAAATATAATGCAGAAAGGAGATAGAACTGGGTAGTAAGCCTTGTGGGATGTCTGCATTGATCTCATAAGTTTAAAAGCCTGACCATTAACAATGACCTTCATGGACCAACCTGATAGGAAGGAATTGATAAGTGAGAATGTTATAGTTGGAGAATTTGTGTAACACTCTTCCATATCACTTAAAATGAAAAAAGGACTCTGAAACCTTCTTCCTGGAACATTTTTGAGTTATTTTCAGTCTTTTAGAAATCTTGAAATTTTCCAATAATTCTGTTGTACCGTTTTTCCGATTCTGTAGCAGGAAATAAGTAATCAACGAATTGTTTTCCAATGCAGTAAAAGTAAAAATTCAAAGATATTAAGAGCTGTACACATTAATGATTAGAAATTATTTGCATTTTTTTTTCTCCTGTTCTGATAACTTTTCACCTTGGCTGCATCTTTGTAAAAAGCAAATTTTGTGCCATTTTAAAATAAATCTCCTCCTTTGAACTTCTTTTTACTTAATGAATGAATTAAATAATTTACTTTATATTTCTTTTCAAATGGACTCATTAAGACTAATGCATTTTTGTAGTGATCCAGGAGATCCATATATACATATATATATATATATATATATATATATATATATATAAAAATAATGTATGTGTATATATATATATATATATATAAAAATAAAAATTTATATATATATATATATATATATATATATATATATATATATATATATATATATATATATTTATATGTGTGTGTGTGTGTATATATATATATGTGTATGTATGTATATACATATGTGTGTATATATAAAAATATGTATATATATATATGTGTGTATATATGTGTGTGTATATGGATATGTATATATATATATATATATGTGTGTATATGTACATATATGTGTATATATATGTGTGTGTGTGTGTATATATATATATGTATGTATGTATACATATATGTGTGTATATATATATAATACGTGTATATATATGTGTATATATGTGTGTGTATATGGATATATATATATATATACACATGTATATATATACATATATGTATATATATATATATATATGTGTATATATATAATGTGTGTGTGTGTACATATATATATATATATTTTATATATATATGTGTATACATATATATGTATATATATATGTATATATGTGTATATATGTGTATATATATATATATGTATGTATATGTGTATGTATATATATGTGTATTAAAGACATTTTTTATGTTCAACATTCTTTTTTTATAGATACAAGTATTTAAATAAATGCTCTGTTTATAATAAACAGTATTGAATAACATTTACCGGCCTGAATGTCGGTAAATTTTCATAGAAAATATTATATCCTTTGTTAGGATTTAACCTGCATCCTATGGAAAAATCATTTATGCTGACATGCCTTAACCGACTCAGCCACAAAGCGTTCAGTTCACAAGGTGAATTTACTGTTTATAAACTTCAATCTTCCATAAATCTCGTACATTCATAACTGCTCATAATTTATCAAATGTAAACAAATGACGTCATATATTAAGAATTGGACAAAGTCCGACAATTTATTAAAGACATTTTATGTTTAACATTCTTTTTATAGATACATCACACAAATATTTAAGTAAATTGAATGTTTATAATAAACAGTATTAAATAACATTTTGTCCAATTCTTAATGTATGACGTCATTTGTTTACATTTGATACACCATGAGCAATTTATGAATGTATTTTTTCATGGAAGATTGAAGTTTATCCAAGAAAATTACCTTGCCTAATGAACGCAGTATTTAGGCCGAGTTTTTAACAAACATCAGAAAAAATGACGGTTCATTTATAAAAGGTTCGAATGTCAAAGGACGAATATTTTCTATAAAATATATATATATATATATATATATATATATATATGTGTGTGTGTGTGTATATGTGTTTAAATGGGTTTATTTATCCTATGTAATTTTTTGTTAATGATGATGTTAATGTTGATATTATAGGGTTATACAGAGATGACAGTCTTATGGTAGTAAGATATTCTAGTAAAATTAAGGCTGACAAATTAAGGAAAATGATTCATAGAGAATTAAAAAGCTTAAATATGTTAAGATAACTACTAATGTTAAATGGAAAATTTTAAAAAAAGCTAGAACATGTAGATTTTTAAATGAACCCTCTTTTCTATTCTTACATAAGAAATTAGAAATTATCAGATTTTTTAATAAACCAAAGTGAATTGACTGTATAGTGTAGGCATGGTATAACTTTTACCTTACAATATGTTTAAACTTTGAATTTAATATTACTTTTTTTTTTGTTTTGCATTTATAATTGTTTTTTTAAAGTTTAATTTACCAGTTTCTTAAAATATATTTTTATTTATCATTTACAAAATTCTATAAAGAAATTTGACTGAGCATATAACTAGTTAGAATTATGTTAAATTACTTTATATTTTAAATATTTATTGCTTTTACATCTTAGGAAAGTTGATCACCAGGCTTATTTACATCATACAAAATAATGAAAACCACTAGAACAATACAATAGAGTACTCAAAAAATCATCACTGACTTTATTATACACCGAGTCATTTCATTCATGTATCATATTGTAAAAATACATGGGGTGATGAAAAATTAGTTTTGTATGGCAATAGAAAGCAAAATAGTAAACAGCATCAACATGAAAGCCATTAACAGAAGTATTTGTTTTGAGTTTGATGGAATATGAAAGGTATTGTCACTGTGGGTGTTTATTGCCAGCAACTTGATTGTGAAAACAAACATTATATCAAATGTATCCTGCTTTGTTAATCAGAAAAGGTGTTATTCTCCAGCATGACAATGCAAGGGTAGACTCTGTAAAACAAATGCAATAAAAAGTAAGATCATTAAAAATTTCCAGATGTTCCACTTGTTAAAAGCTTTCCAGAATAAGGATCAATTTTAATGGATTCTGGGATAATTGTGAAGTGTTGCTTTCCCAAATTCTATCAAGTTTTATTCATCCCTTCATGCTTTCCATCAAAATGCCTATCTGTGAATATCATAAAGTATATTTCCGACTTAGTAACTTTATGTGAGACTGCCTGTTTTTGCCTACATTCAATGTTCATGCCTGTTCATGCCTGTGCTGTCAGCTTTTGTTCTAATTGGTTATCAAGTTTGCACAACTGGTGCTCAAAATATTCAAAATGGCTGAATACTTTCTGGACAGATATCTCACACACACAGACACATATATTTATATATTTTCTTCTTTTTTCTAAGCATTTCACCCCAAGCAAGGCAGGAGTGCCACTAGCACACAAGGGGTTACAGAGAGTGAGAGCAAGTGTAAAGAGTGGGGTTTGGGGAAAGGATATAGAGAAGGATGGGAAACAAGGAGACATTACATTTGAATATTGGAAAATTACAGCTATCAGGGAACCAATAAGAGAAAAGGAATTCCACTGGCAGGAAGTGTGAGAGAAAAAGCTGTTGGAGTAGAAGAGGTGGTTATATTTAGATGTTTCAACAGTGAAACGGTGGGACCGAGATGCCAACCTAGTAGCATACGTTTAAATTCATGCAGAATGTACCAATGGAAATAGTTTAGGAAGCAGTTGAATGAAAATATTTGTAGAAAATTAGGATCCACAGCACATTTGTGAGAAAGTGACTGTAGATGAGATACCAGATCAGGACCTATCACATTATATATATATATATATATATATATATATATATATATATATATATATATAATAGAGAGAATAGAAAAGTTCAGAGCAGATGACATTTGAAAGATTTTAGAGTTCCATGAAAATAAGTGGATACAACGTCTAAAAAAACACAATATCCAGCTGGGCTAAACCATAAATTTAACAATATAGATAGTACTAATATATAACTCAACAAATCAAAACCTACCCACATTTCTCACCCACACAAGACAGACATGCTTACGGAGGTGTTTGACTCACCCCGATTATACACATACACACACACTCACTCCCACAAATGATAATATACACAATTACACACATCATACTCA